TTTCTCTACTTATCTTCCTTATGTTATCATTTAATTAGTACTTATCTATATATATATATATATATATATATATATATATGGATTTATTGTGATATATGTGTGCATGAACATAGCATAATGTGGTAGATTTTGTTTCTCAGTACTTCCCATTCCCTCCCTTCCTCTTAATCCCCTTCCTCTAGTGTATTGGTCTCCCTTCTATTTTAATGAGGTTCCCCACTCCCTTTTTTCTCCTTCCTTTCTCCATTCTCTCCGCCCCCCCCCCCCCACCCCACCCCCCGCGCCGCCCCTCTCTCTTCCAGAGATGAGAGGAAACATTTGACCTTTGACTTTCTGATTCTGGCTTATTTCACTTAGCATGATGTTCTCCAGTTTCATCTGTTTGCCAGCAAATGACATAATTTCATTCTTTATAGCTGATTAAAACTTCATCACGTATATACCACATTTTTTTTATCCATTCATCTGTTGACAGGCACATAGGTGGTTTTAAAACTTGGCTATTATAAATTGCACTGCTATAAACAGTGGTATGCATGTATCACTATAGTATGCTGATTTTAGTTCTTTTGGATAAATACCAATGTGTGGAATAAGTGGATCATATGCTGATCCCGTTCATAGTCTTTTTTTTTTTTCCATTGTAGATGGACATGGTACCTTTGATTTTTATTTTTACATGGTACTGAGGATCAAACCTAGTGCCTCACACATACTAGGCAAGTGCTCTACCACTGAGCTACAACCCCAGCCCCCCATTCCTGGTCTTTTAATGAATCTCCATACTACATTCCAAAGTAGTCGTTCTAATTTGCAATACCACTAACAATGTAAAAGTGTACCTTTTCCTCTAAAGGCTCACCAGCATTTATTGTTATTTGTATTCTCGATGAATGGCATTCTAACTGAAATGCAATGAAATCTCAGTATAGTTTTGATTTTCATTTCCCTGATTACTATGGATGTTAAAACATTTTTCATATATTTATTGCCCATTTCTATTTCTTCTGAGAAATATCTGTTTAGTTGTTTGTTATTTGATTGGGTTATGTTTTTTCCGTATAAGTTTTTAGAGTTCTTTATGTACTCTGGATATTAATCCCCTATTGGAAGAGTAGATGGCAAAGATTTTCTCCCATTCTATAGGCTCTGTCTTCTTGATCTTGTTTCCTTTGCTGTGCAGAAGCAAATTTGATGTCATCCCACTTTGATTCTTGGTTTTATTTCTTGAACCTAAGAATCGTATTAAGGAAGTTGGTGCCTGCACCAGTATGTTGCAGTTTTGATTCTGTGTTTTCTTCTAACAACAACAGTGTTTCTGGTCTAATTCCTAGGTTTTTGATCCACTTTGAGTTGATTTTTGTTCAGGGAGACAGAGATAGATCTATTTTCATTCAATATCTGTGTATCCAGTTTTCCCAGCACCATTTGTTTAAAAGGCTGTGTTTTCTCCAACTTTTTTTTTTTTTTTGGCATCTTTGTCCTTTGACAAAGATGACAGTATCTATGTGAATCTGTCTCTGTCTTCCATTATTTTCCATTAGTCTTTATGTCTGTTTTTATGCCAACACCATGCTGTTTTTGTTATTTTACCTCTGTAGTATAATTTGAGATCAGGTGTTATGGTGCCTTTGGCATTGCTCTTATTGTTGGTATTGCTTTGGCTTATCCTGGGTCTTTTATTGTTCCATATGAATTTTAGGACTTTTTTCTAGTTCTGTGAAGAACGTCATTGTTGTTTTGATGGGTATCACATTGAATCTGTAAATAACTTTTGGTAATATGGCTTATTTATTCTTCCAATAACATGATACGTCTTTCCATCTTCTAAGGTCATCCTCATCTTCTTAATGCACTACCATTTTTTTTATTGTAGAGGTCTTTTACCTTCCTAGTTAGCTTTATTCCCCAGGTTGTGGTGTTGTAGTTTTTTTGTCTGTTTAAGGCTACTGAGAATTGAATTGTTTCCCTGATTTCTTTCTGAACAGATTCATTATTAGAGTATAGGAAAGCTATAATTTTTATATGATGACATTGTAATCTGCTGCTTTGCTAAGTTTGTCAGTTCAAGAAGTCTTGTGGATTTTTTGAGGTCCTCTAAGTACATGATCATATTGTTAGCAAACAGAGGTAGTTTGATTTCTTCCTTTCCTGTATATCCTTTTAATTTCATTCTCTTGCCTGATTGCTCTGGCTCGAGTTTCAAGAACTATTATTGAATAGGAGTGGTGAGACTGGATATTTTTGTCTCATTCTGTATTCTAGAGGAAATGCTTTCAGTTTTTCTCCATCTAATCTGATGTTGGTTTGAGTTTTATAGTGTTTATGATGTTGAGTTAAGTTCTTCAGTCCCTAGTTTCTTCAGTGTTTTAACATGAATGGGTGCTGGATTTTGTCAAAGGCTTTTTCTGCATCTATTGAGATGTGAGTTTTGTCCTTAATTTTATCCATTTGATGAATTAACATTTATTGATTTGTATATGCTGAAACAACCTTGTTTCCCTGAGATGACTCCAACTTGATCATGGTGTATAATCTTCTTAATGTATTCTTAAATGAAGATTGCTAATATTTTTGTAAAAAATTTTTCCATCTATGTTCTTCAGGGATATTGGTCTAGTGTTCTTTCATTGATGTATCAAAGTGATACTGTATTCACAGCATGAACTTTGGAGTGTTCCCTCCCTCTCTATTTTATGAAATAATTTGAGAAAGATTGGCATTAGCTCTTCTTTAAAGGTCTGATAGAACTCAGATGAGAATCCATCTGATCCCTGACTTTTCTTAGTTGCAAGATTTTTTTGGCTTTTTGTTTGTTTGTTTGTTTGTTTTTTAAAGTTGTAGTTGGCCACAATTTATTTATTTATTTATTTATTTATTTATTTATTTATTTGTGGTGCTGAGGATCAATCCAGGGCTTCACACATGCTAAGTGAGCACTCCACCACTGAGCCATAACCCCAGCCCCGAGATTTTTTTTTTTTTTTTGTTACCTCTTAGTCTTTTTAGGTTTTCTGTATCCTTTTGGTTCAATTTCAGTAGATCTTATATGTCTAGAAATTTTTCAATGCCTTCTAAATTTTTCAAATTATTGGAATATTAGTGTTATGGTTTATATATGAGATGTCCCCTGAAGGCTCATGTGCAAGACTAAGCAAGAATTTTCAGAGATGAAATGATTATGAGAGGTATAACATAATCAGTGGATTAATCCACTGATAGGGATCAACTGGGCAGTAACTATAGGCAAGTAGAGTGTAGCAAGAGGAAGCAGGTCACTGGGGGTATGTCTTTGGGGTTCATATTTTGTCCTTGGTGGATAGAACTATTTTCTCTGTTTCCTGGATGCCCTGTTCTGTGCTTCTATCCTCCACCACATCCTTCTAGCATGATTTTCTGCCTCACCTTGGCCCTAGAGCTGTGAAGTCAGCTGATCATGAACTGAATCTCTGAAACCACGAGCCAAAATAAACTTTTCCTCCTAAGAATTGTTCTTGTCAGATGTTTTCATTACAGCAACAAAAAAATGAATAAAACATAAGTTTTCAAATTAGTCCCTACTGTTTGCTGGATTTCAGCAACATGTATGATGATTATGTCTTTTTTCATCTCTAATTTTATTAAGTTGGGTCTTCTCTCTTTTTGTATTAGTTTTCTGTAAGGGTTTATCAACCTTGTATATATATTCAAAGAACCAGCTCTTTGTTACTTTGATCATTTGTATTATTTAATGTTTATTTCGTTAATTTCAGCTCTAATATTAAGTATTACCTGTCTTCTACTGGTTTTCAGATTGGTTTATTTCTTTTCTAGGACCTTAAGAATGTAATATTAGATGGTTTGTTTTTGGATCTTTTGTTTTTCTCATGTAGACACTTAATGCTATAAACTTTCCTCTTAGAACCACCTTCATACCATCCCAAAGATTTTGGTATATTGTATCAATATTCTCATTTGATTCTAGAAATTTTTTTGTTTCTCTTTTTTTTCTCTTATTCTTTTCTCATTCTAAAGATTATTATTTAATCTTCGTGTGTTTATGTGGTTTCTATAGTATTGCTTGTTGTTGATTTCTAATTTCATTCCAATATGTTAAATGTTAGGCATTATATCACTTTTTTATGTGCTAAAGCGTTGTTTTGTGACTCAAACTATAGTCTGTTTTGGAGAAGATTCCATGAGCTTCTAAGAAAGTAAATTCAGCTCTTGGATGAAATATTTTATAGATATCTTTTAGGTCGATTTGCTCTATGTTATTATTTAAGAAAGAAGTACCTTTATTGATTTTATGTCTAAATTACCTGTCTGTGGGTGAGAATGGTGTTTTGAAATCACCCAGTATTATTATATTGGGGTCTATCTGAGACTTAATGTCAAGAGTGTTTATTTAATAACCCAATAAATAAATGGGGAGATGAATTAAACAGATACTTCTCACACAAAGAAATACAAATGGCCAACAAATATATGAAAAATACGTCCAACACTATTAGCATTTAGGGAAATGCATTCAAACCACACTGATTTAATGCAATTTCTATTAAAATCCCAATAATATTCTTCATAGAAATGGAAAAAGCAATCATGAAATTTATCTGGAAAAATAAGAGGCCCAGAATAGCCAAAGGAGACCTTAGCAAGAATAGTAATGCAGGAGGCATCACAATACCGGATCTTAAATTATACTAAAGCTATAGTAACAAAAACAGCATGGCATTGGCACCAAAACAGACATGAGGACCAATGGAACAGAATAAAAGACACAGAGACACACAACCACATAAATACAGTTATCCCATCTTAGACAAAGGTACCATAAACATACATTGGAGAAAAGATAACTTCTTCAACAACTGATGCTGGGAAAACTGGAAATCCATATGTAGCCAAATGAAATTGAGCCTCTCTCTCTCTCACCTTGTACAAAACTCAACTCAAAGTAGATCAAGGAGCTAGGCATTAGACTAGAGATCCTGCACTTATTAGAAGAAAAAGAAGGCCCAAGTCTCCATCATGTCACTTTAGGAACTGACTTTCTCAATGAAACTCCTAAAGTACAAGAAGTAAAATTAAGAATCAATAAATGGGATGGTGTCAAACTGAAAAGCTTCTTCACAGCAAAGAAAACAATCAAGAATGTGAACAGAGATCCTATAGAATGGGAGAAAATCTTTGCTACCTGTATTTCAGATAGAGCATTAATCTCCAGGTTATACAAAGAACTCAGAAAACTTAACACCAAAAAAAACCCAAATAACCCAATCAATAAATGGGCAAAGGAACTGAACAAGCACTTCACACAAGAAGAAATACAAATGGTTATAAAATATATAGAAACAATGTTCAACATCTCTAGCAATTAGAGAAATACAAATTAAAACTACATTGACAAGATAGAGGACACAGAGACAACCCTACATAAATATGGTTATATCATACTAGACAAAAATGCCAAAAACATTCACTAGAGAAAAGATAGCCTATTCAACAAATGGTGCTGGCAAAACTAGAAATCCATATGTAGCAAAATGAAATCAAACTTATGTCTCTCACGCTGCACAAAAGTCAACTCAAAGTGGATCAAAGAGCTCAGACTCTAAAACCCAGGAGGGTATGAAATGAGATGATCCAAATTCTGAAAGAAAACAACTGCCAGCCAAGATTATTATATCCAGTAAAATAAACAAAGTAAAAATGAAAACTTTTCAAGATAAGGATAAAAGAAATAATGGTTACTAAGCCAGCACTACAAAAAACACTTAAATACTACCCACAGAAGACCTCAAAAAGCAAACCCCAGAACTCTAAATGGGTGAATCTCACTGGAAGAACAGTTAAACAAATGAAAATTAAGACTGAATTAAATACCACTACCATATACATCCATAAGAATGGGACTCTAACTAGAATAATGAATTCTGCTGTCATGTATAACCAAAAGAACCAATTAAAAAGAGTAAATTAAAAATGTGAAACAAATCAAAATGTCAGGAAATAAAAATCTTTCCATAATAATTCTAAATGTAAATGGTCTCTATTCTCCAATTAAAAGACACAGACTTGCTTAGTGGATTAAAAAGTCAAAGTACAACTATATACTATGTTTTTGAACTATATGCTATATGAAATAAATCCTTAATGTTCATTGGACTCATTTAATCCTCACAGTAACCCCATGTACTTCATACTAGAATTATTCCTATTTAAAGATGTAGAAAGTAATTTTTTTTTGCTTTTATTTTTTTATTAATTTTTTTTAATTTGTTCTTTTTAGAAATACATGCATTAGAGTATATTTTGACATACATGACTTATTCTAATTAGAACCCCATTCTTGTGGTTGTGCATGATGTAGAGTTATACTGGTCATATATTCATATATAAGAAACTTATGTCTAGTTCATTTTACTGTTTTGTGGAAAGTAATATTTAGAGATGCTAAGAAAACTTGCTCATGGTTAAAGTAGTAAAGCTGGTGTTTGAATATAGGTAGCCTGATTCCTAAGTAAATGACCATAAAAATTAAAAAGACATCTAGAGAGAGATGTTTGTTGCAATATTAGTCATAATATCTAAAAATCATGAAATAGTTAAGTCCAACAGTAGTGAAATAGTTCATTAAACCATGATACACTTATCAATATAGGTGTTATTTTAAATTATATTTTCCCAAAGTTTCATAATAGGAGAAAATTGTTATATTAATTTTTAAAATGTTAACAGAATATATTGTGTTTATAACACAAATCACCATATAAATAAAAATTTTAATTACATAAAAATTATAAATAGTTGGGCACAGTGAAACATGTGTGCCTGTAATCCCAGCGTCTTGGAAAGCTGAGCCAGGATTGCAAATTGGAGGCCAATCTGGGCAGTTTGTAGGACCCTGTCTCAAAATAAAAACTGAAAACGGCTGGAGATGTATCTCAGTTATAAATCACCTCTGGGTTTGAATCCCAGTACCACAAAACAAAACAATAATAATAATAATTTAGTTATAAAGTAATAAAAATCTAACACATTATTAAAAATATTACTATTGAGTAGTAGGAATATAGATTTGTATTCATTTATTTCTTTTATATATTATTTATCTTTTACACATTCTTTATTGGGCAAGTTTAATTTTAAAATAGTAAAAATTATAAATTACATTTTAAAAATCAACAAAATTTTGAAATGCTGGAATAATAGTTAACTGTAAGTTGATATTTAGCATAATAAAAAAATAATACTGATTGTAGGAAATATAACTATTTTACTATATATAACTTTCTAAGTTGTACAAGTAATATATAATCATCATAGAAATATTAGAAAATATAAATAAGAAAATAAACAATAAAAATAAAATTAGGCCTGGTGTGGTGTCACATGCCTGTAATTCCAGCGGCTCAGGAGGCTCCAGAGAATCACAAGTTCAAAGCCAGCCTAAGCAACTTAGTGAGGCCCTAAGCAACTCATCAAGACCCTGTCTCTAAATAAAATATTTTTAAAAAGACTGGGGATGTGGCTCAGTGGTAAAGTACCCCTGGGTTCAATCCCTGGTACCAAAAAACAAAATTAAATAAAATTACATTTCTACAAACCTACAACTCAATTTTGGTGAATTTTCTTCCATATTTACAAATGCAAATGTCCAACAGTGCCCTATTGTCAGACATTTGCATTGCTATACTTGTATTAAATCCTATGTACATATACTTTAAAGAATTTCCATTTGGGGATGAAGCTCATTGCTAGAGCACATGTTTAGCATACGTGAGGCCCCGAGTTCAGTCCCCAGCACCACAAAACAAAAACAAAAAGTGTATTCATCAGTTTATTGAAGTACACTAAAGTAATTAAATTTATTGTCACATGGGTGACTATTTTATTTCTTGTTAGTTTTTATTTGTATATATACACACATTCATTTATATGTATATATATATATATTTGTAAAAGTCTTAGAATAATAATATACATTCATTCATGTTTTCACATTAGTGCAAGGAGACTTCTCCTCCTCCTGAAGATATGAAGGAAATTTCACCAGAAGTGGATCATACAGCAAAAATAGAAATTAATACAACAACTATTTCAAATATTCCCAAGGTATGCAATTATATTAAAAATATTTTGAAAGGTTTAATTTGATTCTTGAAGGCTTTGTCTTAGTATTGATGTGGTTTGAGAAATGATAATATTTATCCTATTTTTGTATGAGAATTCCTTGCATTAAAAACATTAAAAATATGACAAGTACAATTATTAATTATGTTAAATTTGACAGCTGCAATTATACTGGTAGTGGCAGACAACAAATAGATTATGTGAATTCAAGTCTTAATAATTTTTTAAATTATTTTTAATTAATTTTTAAAAATCAAAACTAACTATCCATTTTGAGATAAATGCATTTTAGTATATATTAAGGTTTTCATTTATATGCATATTTTTATTTCATTTTTCATTTTCTATGTAATTTTTCATTTTATAATGAGTGTTTCACATATATATTGCATATCTGTATATTTCTCAAATTTACATGCTTTATCATTCAGATGCTTCAGCAAGCATACTATAAGGGTTGGAGTTGTAGCTCAGTGGTAGAGCTTAGTATGTGCGAGGCCCTGGGTTTGATCCTCAGCACCACATAAAAATAAATAAATAAAATAAAGGTAATGTGTCCAACTACAACTAAAAAAACAAATGTAAAGGACTGGGGCTGTAGCTCAGTGGCAAAGCGCTTGCCTAGCATGCATGAGGTACTGGGTTCGATCCTCAGCACCACATAAAAATTAACAAATAAAGGCATTCTGTTCATCTACAACTACAATTTTTTATGTTAAAAAGAAGAATACTATAAAATGTGATCTAAGCAATAATAAATATAGGAGTGTGCTTTTCTTTCAGCAGGTTTCTCAGGAAGGCAATATAGCTAAGGTAAAAGAGAATACTGAGAAAATCCAGCAAGAAAAAGATGATGATGTATCTTTACTCTCTGAGGGTCAACTTGCAGAACAAAGCTTGGCTTCTTCTGAGGATGAAACAGAAATAACAGAAGAATTGGAACCAGAAGGTGACTTTCTTTTCTAAAATCCCATTATTTGCTTTACTCTTTATTTTGTTTCATCTGTTAGCATATGCATCATAAAACATCATCTAATAGCAAGATCTACCTCATCATATCCATTTCTTGACAGAAACTATGGGTTATAGTTCATTAATCTGCTTAGCTATTGTTAGGTATAATTTTGTATCTCTTCTAAGTCAGCGTGGATCTCCATAATAGAATAGAAATGTCATTACTGACCTGTTTATGTTTTAAACAGTTTCATATTCTCTTTGGGGGTCAGTATTATCAGTTGGATTACTCTACCATCTTGACCTTTTAAAAATCAAAACTAAGAATCCTGACCAGAGATCAACAAATATATGAGAAAATGTTCATCATCTTCAGCAATTAGAGAAATGTAAATCAAAACTACGCTAAGATTTTATCTCGCCTCAGTCTGAATGGCAGTTATCAAGAATATAAACAGCAATAAACGTTGGCAAGGATGTGGGGGGCAGGGTACACTCATATGTTGCTGGTGGGAATGCAAATTGGTGCAACCATTATGGAAAGCAGAATGAAGATTCCTCCTAAAACTTGGAATGGAACCACCATTGACCCATCTATCCCACTTATTGGTTTATACCCAAAGGACTTCAAATCAGCATATTATAGTGATGGAGCCACATCAGTGTTTATAGTAGCCCAATTCCCAATAGCTAAACTATGGATCCAACCTAGGTGCCTTTCAACAGATGAATGGATTTAAAAAATGGATTTAAAAAATTATATATATATATATATATATATATATATATATATATATATACACACACACACACACACACACACATACATATATGGTGGAATATTACTCAGCCTTAAAGAAGAATGAAATTATGGCATTTGCTGGTAAGTGGATAGAGTTAGAGAATATCATGCTAAGAAAAATAAGCCAATCCCAAAAAAGTAAAGGCCAAATATTTTCTCTAATATGCAGATGCTAATTTACAATTGGAGGGGGGCCACTAGGGAAGAATAGAGTTACTTTAGATTAGGTAGAGAGGGTTGAAGGGAGGGGAGGGGATATGCGGATAGGAAGGATATAGACTGAATCAGACATTATTACCCTGTGTACATATATAACTATATGATAGGTGGGATTCTACACCATGTATAACCAAAGAATGAGAAATTATACTCCATTATATACGATGAATCAAAGTACATTCTACTGTCATGTATAACTAATTAAAACAAATTTTAATTAATTAAAGTATTTAAAAAAGAATCCTGACCAGTAAAAGACAACTTACTGAATGGTTTCATTTATTTAAAAGCCTAGAAAAGCAAACATAGTGATAGAAAGCAGGTTAGTGCCAGGCGCAGTGATTAATGCCCATAATCCCAGGCAGCTTGGGAGGCTGAGGCAGGAGCATCTCGAGTTCAAAGCCAGCCTCAATAACAGCAAGGCACTAAGCAACTCAGTGAGACCCTGTCTCTAAATAAAATACAAAAGAGGGCTGATGAGGCTGGGTTTGTGGCTCAGCGGTAGAGCACTCGCCTGCACATGCAGGACCCTGGGTTCGATCCTCAGCACCACATAAAAGTAAATAAGTGAAATAAAGGTATCCAACTACAACTAAAAAAGAAATATGGCTAGGAATGTGGCTATGTGGCCAAGTGCCCCTGAGTTCAATCCCCATTACCTCCCCCAACAAAAAAAGAAAGAAGGTTAGTGGGCTGAAGAAGAATGAACCAGAACATGGAGCAGCAGAGAAGAGATTACAGAGGGGTCTGAGGAAACTTTGGGGATTATTGGATATGTTCACTTTCTTAATTGTGGTGATGGTGTCACAGAATTAAACATATCCCATTTCAGGTTTTTCTTTTTAAATGTGTATAGTTTATTATATGTCACTTTAACCTTAGTAAGCAGTTGAAGTTTTAAAACTCTTAAACAGCAAGGATAACATTGATTTTTACACAATATTACTGGTTAGATTTTTAGAAAACATCTGTTATGCTTCTATCTAAATTTTGTTTAATTTTATACTACAACAAACTACATATTTATTTTTATTTCCTTTGTATTTTACCAAAATTTACCTTGGAATTTCTGTTCATTCTTTTTTCTAAAATGTAATGTATGTGTAAACATATTTGCTGCTAAAAAGGATCTAGAAATAATTGTCATATTGTTCTTTTAAGTTTATCATGTGTGCTTGTTTCTATTTCACAAGGTATAAATAAAAATGGTTTAACTTGGGTAAACATATGTACCTTTTTATTTTTTAACAGATGAAGAGGATAGATCAGATTCTGACAGTGATGATTGTATTATTCCAAGTCCTATCTCCAATAATATCAAACAGGTTAGTAGCTTGATGCCAACTAGAGATGTTCTGAAATAAGGCTGCCTTTGTTCATAGTATATCCTTCTTCATGATGAAGATCTTTTATTGTTGTTGTTATTATTGTTGTTGTTGTTCAGGTACTGGGGATTGAACCCAGGGGTACTTAACCATCGAGCCACAATCACCAACCTTGTTTTTTTATTTTTTTATTTGAGACAGGGCCTTGCTGAGGCTGGCTTTGAAATTGGCAATCCTCCTGCCTCAGCCTTCCAAGTTGCTGGGATTACAGGTGTATGCCAGTTCACCTGGCATAAATGAAAATCTTACAGAAAAATATTTCTGGAAAATTATTAATATATCATAATCTTAATAAGTTATCATATAGTACAAATCAGTTTTATTTATGATTTCATTATATGATGGACTACAACATGAAAGCATTTTTTTTTTTACCAAGACACCTAACACCAATAAGCTTAGACAGTTACTTGCTAAAACCAGCTAACCTCCCTGACTCCTTTTCAGGAATATTCTACAAAGATATATTCACTCAGCTCTGAACTTCTGAGAATTCAAAATGTCAGATTGCATTTGAAATTATAACAGGTTGCTTATATGAATTCATAGACTATGCATATCTAAAGATGTCCCCTGATAAACTGTTAAAATTATTTCATTTCTGACAAAAAAATTAAACCATCTCAGAATGTAATTAATTTGGGGCAGGAATTGTTTGTTTTATGGCACATTGCAGAAAAGGAATGTGTAAATTAAAACTTTCTCTCAAAAGAGAATAGTATTTTAAATATATGTAGGAAGTGTATTGTCTACTGGAGTAATTTTTACTGTAGGAGGGAAGTTTTTATAAAGTAAATGTGAGTGAAGTAAAAAGCCCTAGCATTTTCTGTTCATTTACATTAATTTTCCTAAAATGATTAATTTCGCTCCTTTTTTTAGAATTTCTACTTTATTGGTAAGAATTATAATATTTCTTTTAACATTTCTTTCAAACAATCTTAACTTAATATCTCTGCAAATCAAAACCATTTATAAGAACATGTTGTCACAGATGCCTCCATGAAAGAAATGTACATTGTTTGTGTATTTGAGAAGTACAGAGCATTTCATCTGTCCAAAATTTGACTATTGTTATTATCATTATTATTTATGATAATATCATCTAACTAAGAGAAACTTGACATGCAATCTTCATCATTTAAAACTGATAAATCAAGGAAGGAATTTTACATATGGTTGCCTGAAGACTTTTATCTATAGCACTCAGTGCAATTAAGTTTAATGTTTTTGCTTAATCACATCATAAATTTTTAAATAATTTTATGAAACCAATGAATGAAAATTCTCTACGCTCTCATTAGAACAATTTGATAATAGTGTCAGTGGGAAAATGAGTCCCTTGTACAGGATTTAGCCATAAACAGAACCCATATGAGATGATATATAGGCAGATAGGTAGGTAGGTAAGTAGACAGGTAGATATTGAAGGAGATTTATTGAAAGAATTGGCTCCTTTGATCATGGAGACTAAGAAGTGCCAGATCTGTATTCAGTAAGCAGGTAACTCAGGAGAATTAATATAGTTCCAGATTGAGTCCAAAGGTCTGAGAAACAGGAGAACCTTTGGTATAAATTCTGGTCTGAAAGCCATCAGGAACCAAAAAGAACCAGTGTTTCAGTCCAAGTCTGAAGACAGAAAAAAAAAGACCCTTGTCCCACTCAAGCAGTCATTGCAGGAGGAGTTCCCTCTTAGTCTTTTTATTCTGTTCAGGTCCAACTGATTGGAGGACACCTACCCAGATTAGAGAGGATAGTATGCTTTACTCATTCTACCAATTCAAACCTTAATCTCATCTAGAAAACCCTCCCTAACACCTGGAATACTGTTGGACCCCATGGCCCAATCAGGTTGTCAAATAAAATTAACCACTACACCATTTTACTAGAACCCTCCATTCACCATAAGCCTGCATGTTTGACTCAAACATTGCCTTCTCCTGTATCAATAGTTCTGTGAGTTTGTGCAACTTCATCAGGTTTTTTATGATTTAAGCTCCATGATTTAGCCTTTTGAACATAAAAATATGAGAAATGAGGTACTATGTCAGTCCTGGGTTCTGTGGAGACTCGTACCCAAGGACATGTTATCTTGTCAATTTACAAATGGCACTCAGACCTTTTGTTATAATTGAGTGATTCCCATGAACTTACTGCCTGCAGTTTGTGATTGCTTCTTCCCACAATAAGTAAACACAGTGTTCCATTCCTGCTTTCAGGAAGCGTCTATACTTATTGGTAAGAAGTGCTCATGAAAAGCCAAGTGGTAATTCAACAGTTAAATTACAGCTAAAAAACAGTGTCAGGAGACAGTATCAATGATTTATGTCATAGTCATATACTTGAGCTAAAGAATGCACAGTGAACTTCCAACCCATCCTTCTTATTTGCCAAATGAGTAAACTGAAATCTTGATAGAAAAAGTGACTTGCTCACAATCATTCCACTAATAAAGGATGTTTGTAGGGGGAGAACTCAGAGTGGTTTTTTTAATATATGTCATGAAGGATATGCCCATGAGCTGGCCCACTGGCCTCCTTCCCTTTCTTGTGGGCTGCATGTCTTCTTTTAATTGTTTTAGATTGCATTTCTCTGCCTCACTTATTTGTTACCCAAAGATAGTCACAAGATAAATGTGCATGCCCAGGAAAGAGACCTAATTAGCCCTACCTGGCTTCTGCATTGGCCCCGTCTTTTCAGATGTGTACTGTTCATCCAGTCACACAGTAAGAAAGAGTACCCCGCTATAACTGTGACATCTGAACATGGGAAGAAAATCAGGTGCACTTCTAATACAGGGAAGGATGCACAGTGTGTTTCGCAAGTCAAGAACGTGCTAATAGAGCAGCCCTCCTGTGGAAAGGGACAAGGAAAGGAGGCCTCCATTACAATGCAGCAGGCCAAACATTTTGGATTTTACTTTACAGTAAATACTAGGGCACAGTACAATCATTATTTTAATTTTCTAAACACTTTATTCATCATGTAAAATTAACTTTAAATATATGGGAAATTTTTGTCTAAATTATACCATCTTAGATTAGTGATGCTTAGCTGAAGGCACTTTTTCCCCCAAGAGACATTTGGCAGTATCTGGAGACATTTTTGTTTTTTACAGTGGGAGAAACTGCTACTGGCATCCCAAGGGCAGAAGTCAAGGTTGCTGCTAAGCATGCATTGATGTTCAGGACCCACAACAAAGAGTCATCTGTCTCAAAGTATCAGTGGTACATAGGCTGAGAATTCCTGCCCTAGACCTACAATAGAACCATGTATGTGTTGGCAGTGTTGCTAGCCCTTCAGTGAAGTTGTACATTGCTCTTAACTAAGGAAGAACAAAGAATTATGATTCAACAAAGACTTTTTAGCAAACGAAAAACTTCCTCTAAAGTAGTCAAGTAATCCTGGGTTAGGACTGCTCTTTCTGCTTCCAAGATGGTGCCTTATTGCAAGAGAACTCTCTTCAATTTTTGCCCTTTTATGAAGGTGCTAAACCCACTTAGGCACATGGAGCTCTTGTGACTTAATCACCTCCTGAAGGCAATTAGTATTTTTCCTTTGTAGTAAACTAATGTTTTTTTTTTTTCTTGTTAATTCAGGAAAAGTAATTTGTGTTACTTTGCTATAGCCTAATACAGTCTTCACTTCCTGTCCAAAATCTGACTTCCTCTAATGGTTTTAGATGCTATCTCAAAATTGTGAACATCATTTAAAGCAAGCAATTCTTCATGCCTCAGTAACCATTAATCATGTCTTATGTACTTTTAAAAATTCTGTTTTCAATTGAACGTACAGACCAGTCTTACATTAGCAGGTGAAATTTAGTGTTGTTAAATTATATACCAAATAGAATAAAAAGGTATAATCTGTAAGTATGGAAACAAAACTAAAGAAATCATTATAAAAGTGCATGCTATGGCTTAACTGATAATGTCTCCTTCAAAGTTCATGTTGAAATTTTATCCCCGGTGCCACAGTATTAAGAACTGCGGGAAGTCATTCAGTCATGAGGGCTCCATGACCACAAATGGGATTAGCACCCTTTTGAAAGGGCATGAAATTAAAGAGAGTCTCTTGCAATAAGGCACCATTTTGCAAACAGAAAGAGCAGTCCTCACCAGACACCATACCAACCATGGTGTTGGTCTTGAACTCCTCAACCTTCATGACTGTGGGGAATAAATTTTATTATTTATAAATTACCCAGTCTGTATATTCTGTGCAAATGGACTCAGATAGCCAAATACAGCATTTTTATAGATAACAACAATTTTTCTGCAAACCGTTTAATACAAAAAAAGGAACCTTCCGTTAAATATTGAAAAAGTGGTAAAAAGAATAACTGTATACCTTTATTCACATTTTATTAACCATTATACCCATATTCACATTTTGCTACATTTTTATCATTTCTGTTCTCTCATATGAGTATATGTGCATATACTTGTATTTTTGTGTGTGTGTATGTATGTGTGTGGTGCTGGGGATTGAACCCAGGGCCTTGTGCATACAAGGCAAGCACTCTACCAACTGAGCTATATCCTCAGCCCTTATATTTTTATTTTTAAACACATTCTTATGTACATAATTGTTATGAACCATTTGATAATTGCAGAAATCATGCTCCTTTATCTCTAAATACTACAGAACAATAATAAAGATTGTTATATAATTCTGCAGATATAGGGTGGGAAGAACTCTATTTCTCCTGCTAAACCCTCAGAACAATATGCTAACAACATTTCTATGACTAGCTGTTTGTGGGGTTTTCCTCCATACACCAAGGAGATCACCATCTGAGTGACTTTAATCCTGACACCATCTACCTAGAGGAGGAAACTTCAGATCCTACAGGCTAAGACTCAGCCCCACAAGACTGCCCCCCACTTCTGATACCAGTCTCACCTCCACCTTGTTTGGCCTGTGCTTCTGACCAAATGGCC